AGTTCATGGATGCCAATGAAATTTGAGAACAACTGAAATGTACAAGTACATGTAAGTCAGACTCTTTTAAATGAATGTATCAAGTATACACATGAATTATTTGCCTCAACACATTGGTTTGTTCTTTATTCTAAGTTGCGACTGATATGTTTGTGTGGGCTTGATCGGCACAGTCGCAGAATAATAAATAGATTTTCTTGGATTAAAACAGTTTGCGAGCAGGGGTACAGCCATGTATGACTGCATGCATTTTAAAAAGGCGTACACCCTCCCCCAGGTCTCTTGGCTGACACTTTTTTTTTTTACAAAATACCCCTTGGAAGCTTAAAAATTACGACCGCATGGATTCACATCATCTGTGGGGAGTGTGGATAATATGAAAAAAAAAATAATCAAAAATATGACCCCCCTCGGAATTAAATCATCTGTAGGGGTGTGGATATAGAAAAAAAACCTGGAATAACCCGTAGTCCCGGGTGTGTCGCAGTGTGATAATCCCACGCACAGTGACATTCGCATACTACACCTATGTTTCAGATACATTGTACTTCTATTTACTGTAAAACCCTCCCAACGGAAACTCTCCATACTCAAAATACTCGAAATAAAACTTTTTTCATGTAGAAATTTTTCCAAACAAATTTAGCAATTTTTCAAGATTTTTGTCAGAAATATATATGGAAAGGTTTAATGTTTATTATTATCACTGATGTTGTATGCTGCTATACACATTGTTTATACTGCTTCAATTTGAATGTAACAAAACGGGATAAGACCTAGACTGGCAAAGTCGGGACTTCTTTTTTGTTTTACAAAAAAGAAATAATTGCTTTAAGTCCAGTGGATTTTCACAGGATTTCTTTTGTGATCACGCTAGTTTTTGCAATCACACTAAAAAGGCTAAACTGACAATTAATTATTTTTTTTAAACAAAAAAGAAGTCCAGCCTTTGCCATTCTGGATAAGACCTTGAATGCCGTGCTATGTGCAAACATGAGAGGCAACACCACATATTTGTATCAAAGTTTCCCGCTCAAGTTCACGAGAGTATATAAACACTCAGTGTACTTGATTTATGGCTTTTCTATGTTATGTTCACGTACTTCAGATAAACAACTAGTTATATGCTAATAAGTATGTATCGTGTCTGACTGCTGGACATCTCGGCTTTATAAAGAATATTACATCTAAATATACGATTTTCTCACAATTTTGTCTTCCGGTAATACAAAAATCTTAAGACTTTCTTTACACCAGATGCAAAAGTCTCAAGACTATATTCATAAGCTTATAATTTTTTTTTTAGTCGTCACAAAAATCTCAAGATTTTCTTTACACCAAGATATTGTTAATTACCCCAGCTCTGGAACACGTGTCCGTCACGCAAGTTTTTCAATTCAGGCATCAAATACGATTTTGACAAACTCAGCGATGATCGATATAGAAGTCGACACTTTGACTGACTACCATATAAGTAATTGTTCAGTCCAGAACAACCCCGTTGTAGTTCTTTCTAACTTCTTACCAACTTGAATATTGTCCAGTGCCGGGGTCCAGCGACAGTGTACAAACGTGTGCCAGTGGCGGTGACGATCACGATGACCTGCTACGCCGGCAAACTTGATATTATGGTTCATTCTTCCTTAACGAACAAGTACACAAGTGGCAATTTAGTCAAAAATCGTACAAAAATGTGCCTTATATACACTTCAGACAACTAATACATTTGTATACATGTATTGGCCATGCAAGCTGCCCAGCAAGTTCCCCTTCTTACAACTAAGTTTGAAACGCCTTTTTTCACTTTTAATAATATTGATGTACTAGTGAATGATTTTAGGTGAGAAAACAGCAGCCATTTCACATAATATGTAGTAAGCATTCCGTTAGGATAAAACAGTTGGATATTATGCAATTAGTATTGTTTAGGCCGTACTGATTTGATACACTGGTGACATCATCCAGGGTGTCCAAAACTGTCACGAGCGCGCCAAAAAGGTAGACAAGACAGAAAACTGACATTTATTATGAAATCTAACTTAACATTAACTCCCCTTTGTGTGTAGTATTTTTCACAACAAAGAAATTAAAACCCGGCGCCTCTACGTAACCACTTGTTGGTTTCGCGGTGGCACCTTTTACAACTGTATTTCGTGTATTGCATGTCGTCTTTTATTTACAATGTATTTAGCAATGTATAGATGTAATGACAGCACCAGGGCTCGCTGCCGTTTTCTTTTTGGTCTCCTCTTGTTTTGAGTCGACTGTGCAGTGGTTATATTCAAAATTTACCAGCATAGAACCCGCATCCAAGATACTTTGTCGTAGCTGCGTGCGGGGTTCGGGATTTTTGCGTGAAGGTGTGTGTTTTTCACTGGAGTTCTGATGAGATTTTCTTTCAGGGCCATCAAGATCGCTGGGACTGACGGCGTCACAGCAAGGTCGCACGTCCAGTAAACAAATCGTGAGTTGCGTGTTTGGCATGAGTGGAAAGTCCTCACACTCAGCTACTGGTGCTTCGTGTACCGGGACGTTGAGTAGGAGGCCCGATGGTGGAGGTACCAATATTTTTCTCGGTCTCCCCCCGCTGATTGGCGGGCATCCTCACAGTCTGTTTTTTCAGGCGATGGTTTACCCAATTTTATCGGCTGCAGGCTTTCCTCCTATGGGGCCCGTTGCGGGTCCCTGTGTGGACCCTTCCTCGCACGGCGCCGGGTTTGCCTCCGAGTTGAGGGCTTTGGTCGAAAGACTGTTAGGACAATTGCGTCCCTGGCAGGCACTGCGGCCCCTCGGTGGGCAAGCAGGAAGAAACTTGTTTGCATTCCCAGCCGCGGCTCTCCCACTAATTTTGGGTGAGGCCTAGGCTCAGACTAATTGCACCAGGCCTCCTCTGGAGCCTTGGGCACTAAATGCCAACGGGTGCTGGCAGCCAAGCCTCGGATCTCGGGGCAGGGCTTTCAGGGCAGGGCTTTCAGGGCAGGGCACACGTTGACCCCCCCCTATTTTCAGCCAGCTAGGGTTCGTCACGTGGTAACGGCACAACGGTAACGAATTTATCCTTGTGTCTGGTCTCCGCTGTGGGTTTTGACTCCCTTCTTACCGTCCCACGGGCGTCCCCAGAGGGAACCGACCCTGTCATGAGACGCACAGTGGAACACGCTCCCTCTCACATATTTAAAGTGAAAGGAAACGCAGTTCGCTCGTGTCGGATACAGCCGGTACTCCGGGCGGCCCCTCAGAGTCTTCCATCCGTAATGACTCGGTGAGCCACGCTTTTGGGGTGATACGGAGTATCATCGATCCCAGTGATATGATGTAAATACCCCCACCCTTGATCCTAAGGTGACCACCTAAGGTTGCTTCAACGCTTATGGGATCAGGGGCATCGGGATCCAAAGCAACCCCGTCAGCACGTCTCTCCCTGTCCGTCCGAGTGCGGAGTGGGACGCAGAGCATGCAAACGGTGTTGATGGGCGGACGTTGGTCAGCTGCGGAGGACGTAATGCTTAAGGCCCCCGGGTGGGGAAGACATTAGGCAACACTTCCTGCATGACCAAGCGCTACCCGGTCGGTGTGGTTTCGGGATCAGACCCCATAGTGCGGGATGAGACCAAAACGCCCCCAACCGGATCCCAAGGCTCCTTCCCCAGACCCCGATACCACGAATTTCCGTTGGCAAACCGAGCAAAAGGGGACAGCTGCGTTCCATGGGCGTTCTTGCCAATCGAAGACGACCCATCCAGCCCTGAGGGCAGAGTTGTTTGAGCGCATTATTGTGCACGCCCAGGACTCAGGAGACCTCAGAGGCAGAACGCACCAGCCTCCTAGACCAGGCGACACTTTTACTGGTGGGCCCTAGTGTCACCTGGCTCTCTTGGCCGGGGCCACTACTGTGCTACATGTATGAGACGCGGCCTTATACGCACGTGTTTTCACACACAAGCTGAGTCGGGGGGAGGTACGTCCCCACCTCAGTGATGCAGACTGGACATCTTCCACCCTCTTTGTTCAGGGAATGGTGGGTACAGTCTCGGAGCTTCGGAGTGCAATGAACCAGAGGGTTCAGATCGAATCTGCTAGCCAGTTGGCCCTGCCAAGGGCAAGCGGAGGGCACCCAAAGCACAGAAAACACAACGCCCTAGGGCGTGGTCCGCTAGCCAGAGTCAGCCAGGAGGCAAGCGCTCATACCCTTCCATGGGAGGGAAGAGTAGTGGCGCGTCCCCAGAGAGGAAAGAGCCAGGTGGTGGCTTCTCTCACCCTCCCTGGGCAGACGTCTACCCTGGCAGCGGGGGAAGCGTGTTTGACGCTCACCTCTGCAACCGGGGAGACAGGCATGTGTTCGGCGAGTGGCCAGGTCACAACTTCCCGCAAGGCGGAAGCAATCAGCAGGAAGTAGCAGTTTGCTGGGAAAAGGTGCCATACACAGGGTACATCAGCCAGAACTAAGTCCAGGCTTCTACCCAAATGTGTTCGTAGTACCAAATCTACAAGTGGCGGGCGTCCAGTTCTGGACCTCGGCAGACTGAATCAGTACGTGCTCCTCGTGCTCCACATGGAGACACCATTCAGGGTTCTTCTCTCCATCCACCGTTTCGACTGGCTAGCCCCACTAGACTTAAGCGGGGCCTACCTGCACATACCGATGCACCCAGCGAGTTGCCATCTCCTTCGAATCGCCCAGCTGGGCCAAGTATTCGAATTTCGAGTGCCTCCCCTGTTCGGGTTAGGCACAACGCCCTACGTGTTCACCAGAGTGATGAAACAGGTAGTGCTGCTGCTTCACCAGATGTCGATACACCTCAATTCGTACCCAGACTACTGGTTACCAACAACCCGGGCAAGGAGTTAATAGTCCTTGTTCTTATACTTAAAAAAATTGTTCTCTGACATGAGCAACTCCTATTCTATTTTAATCTATTCTATTCCATTCTATTTTAATCTATTCTATTCTAATCTATTTTATTCTATTCTAATCTATTCTATTCTTCATGTACAGAAACACCATGAAGATGATAATTGACACAGATGCTGGCATTGATGATGCTGAAGCCATTATGATGGCACTTGCCAATCCACATGTTGAAATTGTTGCAATTACCTGTGTCAGTGGAAACACAAGAGCCAAGCAAGTTACCAGAAATGTCCTAAGGATTCTGAATATATGCAATCGCCTTGACGTAAGTCTATTCTGAATATATGCAATCGTCTTGACGTAAGTCTATTCTGAATATATGCAATCGCCTTGACGTAAGTCTATTCTGAATATATGCAATCGCCTTGACGTAAGTCTATTCTGAATATATGCAATCGCCTTGACATAAGTCTATCCTGAATATATGCAATCGCCTTGATGTAAGTCTATTCTGAATATATGCAATCGCCTTGACGTAAGTCTATCCTGAATATATGCAATCGCCTTGATGTAAGTCTGCTCAGTTTTAATATGCCAGTCTCACTTCAGAAAAATTACTGATTTTTAATAAAAACTTCAAAATTCAATAAGCAATATATACATACTGTATTTAAAAACAATCCATTCATTCTGAAATCACACTTTACTTTCAGCTTTTAAAATACACAAGATTTAAATCTATACACAGATACAATATATGTTACTTGCAATTCATATTAATATATATATACAAGATTAGATAAGATGAGATAAGATAAGATAAGATTAGATAAGATAAGGTAATACTTTATTACAACCATATTGAAAGAAATTCAATTTAGGTGAATACAAATGTAATAAAGGTATAACAAACTATTCTACAAACTAGAACTATACTTATCATAAAGATACAGTAAAGAAATATTACTTGTAGATAAAAATTAAAATATTACATTTCCATGAGTTTTTGTTTAACATAATATTGTTTTCTTGTCGTATATGATGTTTTTATGTATTTAATTAAATCTTTTATCAATGGTCTGTTCTCAGGATTTTTAAAATGTAAACAAGTTTTTCTGTATTATTTGCTTGAACAAAATTTTCAATTGATTCTGAAAATGTTGTGTATAATCATACTCTGGCCTCAGTATGTATATATATACATTGTATATGCCAGTATTTATAAATAAGTGAATAGATGTACTTATCTGAATAATAAATAACTATAAAATACACTCAAAAACGAACATAATTACTACTATACAGTTGTGAATTGTTATGGTATCTGTTTTAAAACCATCTTCTTTGTATGAAAACATTACTGATGATTGAAGCAACTTTTTCACCATCAAATAGTATCGGTAGTTCATATCAAGCGTGGTATTTGTTTGCAAACAATAAGATACCATGTTAGACAGTGACATATTTTAATGGCTTCGTCACTAATACAAACATTTACTGTTAAGATATTGTTATTTATTGCTATAGACAGACAGGCTTCCATATTGCTATTTTGATAGTGCGCCCTCTATCAGTGAATATTATGGTCAGGGGAGTTTGGTCGTATGATTGTACTTTTTTTCAAATAAACCCCTGTCTTCAAGCATTAAACTAGTTGTACAAATCACGTATCGTAGCAGATTGAATCTATAACTTAACAAACACTTTTAAACATTTTTATCTCATAACAATTGTATCTGTTCAAAGTAGATAAAAAATAGTCCCATCTTATATTACCGGTAGATAAAAATTGAGTAATTTATACTGGCTTGTCTAAGTGAGTGACTCATGCAGCTATAATGTCATTCTCAGTATTCCTCACATTTTCTTGAACTCATGAATTTCTGTATAGCAGTACCTGACTTGCCTACAGCTGGGGGAGGGAGGCACAGCTGCTATATGAGGAGTTGTTCTTCCTCGCACACATTCGGAATACCGGAAAACCAATTGTAACATATAATTGTAATCTTGCACAAGGATTGCTGGAAAAATGATTGATACATTTTACTATTAATCAACCCCTATATTCAGTCAGTAATAATATTTCTGTACCACACTTATAGGAAACAAACTTGAGTAACATAGCGATGTGAAGTCAATACATGTTCTGATAATGGATGAATACAATCTCCTCAGTTTACAGTACACACTATAAACTTTATATCTGGTAATTGTTTTCTGGTTCCAGATTCCTGTTTATCTTGGTTCAGAGCATTGTCTTGCGGGAGATGATTGGAAAAAGGATGGTTTCCATGGTAGCGATGGCCTTGGTGATGCCCCAGACCCAGAGAACACACCAGATGAAAGTCACATCAAGTCTGAGATGGCAGTGAATGCTTTGATACGATATGTAAATGAAATGAAGGGAGAATTGACTCTGGTAACGCTTGGTCCTCTGACAAATATAGCTCTAGCGATGCGTTTAGATGCAGATTTCAGTAGTAAATTGAAAGAAATGATTGTGATGGGTGGAAACTACCAAGGTATGGTTGCATATTTTGCTGATTGTAATATGAACTGTGATTAAAAATAATGAATACTGCCAGTATACTACAGAAACAATTTTGGTATACTGAAATCTTATCATTAATAAAATGAACAGGATTCACTGAACTGAGAAAATCCTATGTTTATATTATGCAGTCAATACACAGACTCTAAATAATATTCAGAGTAATGATAAATAAAAATAATTTCATAAAATAGTCAAGTTATACTACATGAATACAAAATTGTTTCTGTGTTCACTTCGAAGTGTTTGTGATGTAGCATCTTTATAGATCATACTCAAGTATGTTCAAATGGTTTCTGAAATAGTTTCTGTCATTTTGTGCAGAGATTCATGAGTTTATACCCAAAACATATAATGAGAAAACAAATATTGCAAAAGAATCTACCATTTGGTGCTGTGTCTGGAGTCTGAATAGAACTGCTTCATTTGGTGCTGTGTCTGGAGTCTG